TCTAGTTCCAGCTTTCATTTTGGATCATCTATACTATTTTGACAGAGGAATCCAACTATAACAAGTGTACTGCAGAGACACTTTGCATATAGTTCAGTAGTTTGTCACCAGCTGGTCCACTACAATAGTAAAATACGTCACAAACAACCTTGGAAAGGGAGTATGAGCACAGAAATCCGACTCCGTTCCTGTTTCCTATGAAGACAAAACAGCAAAAATGTTGTCGGGTCAGAAACAACAATCTACATTAGCCAAATCTTCGTTTATGCTTCACGTTGTTCTTAAACCACGAGGATTGAAGGGCAGCTCACCTCACTGGTCAGGATCATGTGCTGCTCTGTACTAACTCGGCTCAGCTTGTTGCGTAACTTCTGGTGGCCCCTAAGCTTCAGGAAACCTCCGTAAGGAATGGAAGAGTGAGGTGGTTTGGTGAATAATGTCAGACATTGCTCACAGAGCTGTTGGAAGTTGTACTACTTTGCTATCCTGGATAGTTTTCTTGTGGCTTCACAAAACTTGTATTTTACTTTCTAAGTGACACATGAATCCATGAGTCAGCCAGACCACACAAAGGTAAATAGTTAATTTCTGGGATGTTATTGGCTGTACGAACACAGGTTTAAACCAAAAACTTAATCTGTTGCTTAATCACATTCTTAAACGGAGAAAAAGTACACAAGCCCCTGGAAAAATTACAATGATTATGGGTTTCTGATTGTTAGCCTAGTTGCTATTATTTTTTATAGAGCTGCTAGCTTTGTCATTCATCAAATCAGGAGTTGCACAAGCTGCACAATTAAATGCGTGGAACACTGAAAAACCATTTTTTATAATTGGTCTGAGTTTTTCAAACAAGCTGAACATGAAAATAGTCTCCTACACCTATCTCCTGCATTAGCTTCTGATAGAAAACAAACGGTGAAACTCTAGGATTAGAAAATCCTGACAGATCTACGTCACGCTGTCACAACATTCATGGACTCACCCATCTTTACTCACGATCGGGAAGGCTGTTGTTGGTTTATCGTCCAGGAAACAGCAGAGAATATCTTGGCTAGTAGAAGATAATCATTAGCATTAGCAACTTCACCACACGGCAGAACTCCTTATGGCTTGTGTTATTTGTGGAGAAAAAACATCTACATTGTATGGTAGAGTTGTGTTGCTTGTTAACCAATCCAAAGCTAGATGTCCGAATATCAGGAAATAAGCCTCAATCCTGCCGTTTGAAGCTCAGCTGTGATGTGGTTCACTTCAGGCCTAGTCCACACGTAGCCGGGTTTTTTTTTAAAACGAATATCCGCCCCTCCAAAAACTTGCATCCACACCACCTCGTTTAAAAAAAAACTGTCCACACGTACCCGGGTAAATACGTTGTTAAGGACATGCCAGACCTGTGGGTGGCAGTACTTCCCCCGTTCTTAACCTCGTCCGTCGTCTGTGGTCTTCCGCAAGGAGCAGTAATTCCGCTTGCAAAAACAAACAAGCAGAAAGCGCTTGGACAATCAAGAGCATCTGGCTGCAGACATCAGCTGGCGTCTTTGCCGTGACAGGAAATGACGTATCCGGAAAAACAAGTGTCATTACCTTCGCCGGAAGTCATTACCTTTGCCGGAAGTAGTTTTTTTCGGGTCATTACCTTTGCCGGAAGTAGTTTTTTTTCTTGAATACGCTTTATTGACAAAGCACAAAAGTAGTTTGGATTTGTCAAAACCATACCGTGTCGTTTTTCTCTTCGATTTGTACACATTTAAGAGAAAAATTACACGGTGGGTCATTACCTTAACCAGAAGTCATTACTTTCACTGGAAGTAGTTTTTTAAAAAACAAAACTTACCGGAAAAAGCTTTTTATTTCGGATTTTTTTTTCTCTTCAGATCTGGACTGGCAAACTTAAGTAACGTTGTTACCTGCGTTGCATGAAAATTGAATATTAAATCCCTTTGTTCTTCAGACAGGGAATTTTTATGACAGTAGCACATACATACATACATATAAATTACATATATATATATATATATATATATATATATATATATATATACACACACACACATATATGTTTATATACACACACACAATAAAAGGCTGTAAAGTGAATTAAAAAAACATATGGATAAAATGAGAACACGTTAAACTAAGACTTTTCAAAATGTGCAAACAAAATAGTACTGGCTAAATATTCAGTTTTATTGTTAAGCCCAAGATGAACTTTTGACCTACACCAATTGCTAAAGTACAGGACTCCCAGAAGCAGTGAAAAACATTTCAGCAACACTCCTCTCTCACCAGCAACAAAAATTAGTTATTAAATATCCACAACACTGTCCTACTGTGTATCACAGCAGCTCATTGCAACAGAATTTAACTACTACAGCTAATAACTATTTAGCTAGTTGGTATTTATTTTGAGTGAAAGACAATAAAACCAAAGAAACACTTGATTTCACAACCATTTTATTTTGGGTACAAATGAATTTGCTGAAGCATGGCTTTCTCAGCTGCATATCGATTCATCCCCTCCCATTTTTCCAACACTTTTATTGTTACCTGAAAAACATGCAGGATTACTTCAACGTCGTCGTCTTCCTCCGCTTGTCCGGGTCCAGGTCGCGGGGGCAGCATCCCAACTAGGGAGCTCCAGACCGTCCTCTCCCCGGCCACCTCCACCAGATCCTCCGGCAGGACCCCAAGGCGTTCCCGGACCAGATTGGAGATGTAACCTCTCCAACGTGTCCTGGGTCAACCCGGGGGCCTCCTGCCGGCAGGACATGCCCGAAACACCTCCCGGGGAGGCGTCCAGGAGGCATCCTGACCAGATGCCCAAGCCACCTCAACTGGCTCCTATCGATCCAGAGGAGCAGCGGTTCTACTCCGAGTCCCTTCCGGATGTCCGAGCTCCTCACCCTATCTCTAAGGCTGAGCCCGGCCACCCTACGGAGGAAACTCATTTTGGCCGCTTGTATCCGCGATCTCGTTCTTTCGGTCATTACCCAAAGCTCATGACCATAGGTGAGGATTGGGACGTAGATCGACCGGTAAATCGAGAGCCTGGCTTTCTGGATCAGCTCCCCCTTCACCACGACAGATTGGTTCAGCGTCCGCATCACTGCAGACGCCGAACCAATCCACCTGTCGATCTCCCGATCCCTCCTACCGTCACTCGTGAACAAGACCCCGAGATACTTAAACTCCTCCACTTGAGGTAGGACCTCTCCCCCGACCCGGAGTTGGCAAGCCACCCTTTTCCGGTCGAGAACCATGGATTTGGAGGTGCTGACCCTCATCCCAGCCGCTTCACACTCGGCCGCGAACCTATCCAGCAAGAGCTGAAGGTCAGAGCTGGGTGAAGCTAGGAGGACCACATCATCCGCAAAAAGCAGAGACGAGATTCTCCTGCCACCAAACTCTGTTAAGGATTACTTCATACACTGTCAAATGTTTTGGAAAAGTAACTTTTATACCAATCACTGCTGAAGACTGCGTTGTACCTCTGGAACAAGGACATCAAACACCAAGTCCAGAAACTGGAACTCTCTCTTCTTTATTAGTTTATCTATTCCTGAGCATGAACCAATCCGCTCTGTCAGCTCGTCAACCTATAAAACACGTTAACATAAAAATGAACAAAACATTCCTCTCAGCATTAGACAACGGACCCAGGTGGCCCACTGACCACGCATCCACATAAATAAATCTGATGCAGCTTATTGTAAGTCAGTATACATTTACCTGTGCATCAGCAAAGTGGAACATCAGTGGCTTTAGTCTTTGCTTTAATTTAAGCGAGACACCTGGATTGTGCCACAGATACATGCGGCCAGACTTCACTCCACCGCTGCAGAGATCCTTATACAAAGTCTGAGACAAGAGTTAAAAATAAGCAACATTACCACAGATAACAAGAGATTGCATTATCCTATGTCCAATTTTAGAGTCTTAATTTATTATAATTAAACATTACCTTGATTTCACCATCTGAAATTACTGCCTGGGTTCCATTTTTCAAAGCCTCGATTGTCCTGTAATTTAGATAAAAATACATCTTATTAGCAAATGAAGAATACAAGCACATGTAAGGAGTTTTGTCAGTGTCACTTGAAGAAGTCCAATATTCATTTTAGATCTATATTTAAGGCCTGTAACTCCTGAATGATTTGCAGCTACATGTGCTTAAATCCGGTAATATTAATATAAACCAAACCCGATCAAAGCAGTCAGTCGACAAAAATATCTATTTTTTATAAGGATAGGATTATTCTGAAACAGAATCAGAAGGAGGGCGGCATTAATTAGAGAAGCGGCTACTATTTCAAAGTTATTGTACCTGTTGCAGGACACCTGATTTGTGCAACCACAGTAGAATGACCAAGCACACCACACACAATAACTGAAAAATATTTAGAGATATTGAAAGCTAAGCTTGTCCAGAAAATACATTTTATTTCTGGGTGCACAGGACCAGTTCCAGTGTGGGCCAGATGCTGAAAAATAAATTCATAAATCTGTCTTTTTGAAGTTTCACAAATCGGAGGAAGGTTTCACAAATCACAAACTATGTTTTATGCATTCCTACGAGCCCAGAATAATCTAAAACAGGTTTGAAGAGTGTATGTGTTGTAGGTTTTGAGCTAGAGCAGAATAAAAATGGTCAGAGTAGAGAAAAATTGGGTGTATTAGCCCTTTAGCCATTTCCCGAATCGGAAGCTAACTTTAGCCTCATATGAAAACTAGTGATTGAAACCACTTACAAATCTCTGAAAATCTACGCTTTTTAATTAAAAAAGGGTATTAATAACGTTTCAGTCAAGTCAGTATTAGAAATCGTGGTCTTTATATCATATCTAAATTATATATAAAGTTAATATTATTACTTTAACTGTTTTAACAAACAGGGAGACCAGAAAAATCAAATAGCTAAGTTAAAGCTAAGCTACAATTGCTGATAGCTTTATTTATGTAGCTTTTGTGTTAGCTAGCTTGTGATCTCCCTTCGTTTTAAGACTGCGTGTTAATATTGATACAATTAGCTATGAAACATGGTGCCTTTGCAATAATTCTCTGGTAAAGCTTTAAACGCTACAGTGCCTACATTTAAGAACTAAGAACGGTTGCAACAATTAGTTAATTTCATCCTTATCTTTCTTTCTTTATCTATCATCCTTATCCTTACCTTTCCTCAATTGAAACCCGCCGAGTATGGTTGAAACAAAAACAACGTAGCGGCCGCCAAAAAAAAGACCAACTTCCTGCCGAGGTCTTTCGCTCGTCGATTTTCCGGTAAAAGTAATGACGCGCCATCTTGCTCTCGACACACCAGCTGATGTCTGCAGCCAGGTCCTACTCTGGACAATTGATAAAGCGAGCGCAGCTCTGAGGGCATCCATGCTGTCGGCTAGTGTAAACACAGGTCGCACACGTGATGTCAGCATTTTTTTGTCACGGAATGTGACGTTGCGGACCTTAAAACTCCGGTTTTGTCTGTCCACACGCAGACACCCAAAACGGAGAAACCGCAGATCTTCACTTTGGCCGGAGTTTTTAAAAAGATCCGTTTCCGTGTGAAAAAACTCCGTTTTCGTGTGGATGACAGGCCAAAACGTAGAAAAATATCTACGTTTTGGCAGATCCCCGGCTACGTGTGGACAGGGCCTCAATTTCATGGAAATAATGCACTAGTGTTTTTTACCCCTGAATATGAATTGCAAGGCATTTATTTCTAATAGAGACCTCAAATGTATTATACGAGGCTCCCAGACGTGAAGAACGCCACAATAATTGGTGGATAAGAAAACATTTTCATTTTAGGTATTTCAAACATTGCAACACATCTTTATCACTTAGCTTTAACCCCAATCAGTAACTTGACTGAACTTGTAAGCATGATGCACAAAAGCTCCTTTTCCTCACTGGGAAGTCATCATGATGTGAGGAAAAAAGTGTTTTTCTGCCTCTTTTTAGATCTAAAGTCAATGTTACAAGTTTCTCGTCAGATGAGTGGAAACGTGTCTCCTTACTGAACACAACTGATTAGCGTTCACATCCAAATAACATCTATTTTAAGCCTTTTCCAGAGTTTAAGGCTGACGATCAGTAATGCTGAACATGACTGTAAATACCCACCTGAGGAAACTGGCTGTATTCTCCTGGTTTTCATTGCATGCACTGACTGCGAATAGATGAGGTCAGGCTTGAACATGAATATGCACAAAGTGCTCTCTCTTCTTCTTCTTTCTGAGAAAACAGGTTTGGACAGGTTGATCTATTGTTCGTAAACGCAAAAGCCACCTGAACTTCCTCCTACGTGTAGCAAACACAGGTAATTCAGGTGTTCTGCACAGATTGAGACGTTAAGTTTTATGCGTGTTTTTTAACCAATATGTCTCAGTCCCATCACCAGCTGCATCAAATGAAAATTATAAACATTTTATGTTAAAGTAAAATTCACAAATGAAAGTTGTATGAGATGAAATATGTTGCAGAATTTGGACATTTGAATTGGTTCCACTTGGCTGTCTTCATGTGAATAAATGGGAACCCTTTTATAAAGATTAATCAGTCCAGATAATCTGGACTAAATGTAATTAAACGTTTATTTTTAATGCGGTTGACCTAATGAGCAGTGCTTGTGTTGCGTTGCCTTGGGCCACTCTGCTGATGTGTGACTGGAGTTGCAGCCAGAAGTTCCTCCCAGACTCCAGAGCAAAGGAAGTGGATTGTTTTGTTTCACAGGGTTACGCTCATTCAACTTTTAAAACATCTAAGGATAGAAAAGGAGCTTTTGTTGATTAAAATGCAGCTGAAGTGGATTTGGAGTGTGCTTGATGAAACATTTTTATACATTTTTCACACTAAAGATGTGTTTTAATTTTTTATCCATAAGCTGCCATTGATTAAATCCAAGTAGGAACTCTAATAACTCTCGTAAAGTCTAATGTAACTGATGGTGTTTAATTGGACGCATGGACTCTGCATTTATAATCCAGCAGGAGAACATGGTTATTAGTGGAAGGTTATTTTAGCAAAGATTTAGTGGCTTTAAAAGGTCAGAAAACTGAAATGTAAAAGTGGCACAAATCCATCAGCTCCACATAGAAAAATGTCTCCAACAGCGATAGCAAACGTGACCATCTTCTTCTTCTTGGCTTAGTGGCAGATGGCATAAATAAACCGTGACCTTTGAAGTCTCAAGGGATTTTGTGATCTCATGAGTCTAGCGAGGAGGACGGTGGAGAAACTGCTCCACATCTGACGCTCTCCTGGTGTGGATTTATGCGCTGCGAGTAAACCGTCCCACTGCTATTCCGATCTGCTGATGCCTCGATCGTAAACCCGGCCTAACATTAGCTGTGTCTTGGGAACGTCTGGCCCGAGTTTTCCAATAAAATTCAGTGTGAAAAATATTCTGGCTTTTAGTATTGCAATATATCGTATTAACTCCCCTGCATTGCGATATGTATCGTATCTCCAATTCATGCCCCGTACCTGACCGCCAGTACGTCAAAAATAAGAGGTTTGGAGATTTCTCATCAGGAGACAAACTGGACGAGGTTGAGTTTGTTCATGCTCTTGCTTGTCTCACCACCCCTCCTCTACCTGTCATCTGTTATTTGTTCTTTCAGTTTGTCATGGTGGAGTCGAACTGTGATTTTAGTAGGCTGTCTTGGACAAGCATCCTTTTGTTGCAGTGTGATACAGTCCTGTCGCTCATGGACCTATAACAAAGACAGACGACACGTATTTTATTTGTTTTGAGTATCTGCAGATTTTTAATGTTTAATACCTTTATCATATCACAAGTAACGTTTGAGCTTAAACGTGCCACTGCTCGTACTAGTGGAGATGTTCATCTTCTCCTGGTCTCAACAGAAATGACGACCATTCGGAAGAAGTTGGTGATTGTTGGGGATGGAGCTTGTGGGAAAACGTGTCTTCTCATCGTCTTCAGCAAGGACCAGTTTCCTGAGGTCTACGTCCCAACCGTGTTTGAAAACTACATTGCTGATATTGAAGTTGATGGAAAACAGGTTTGTTTAACTTAAGTAGAATAATGTTTACATGTGTACACGAGCAATCCAGACTTCCAAAAGGAAATTCTTTTTCTCTCTTTACATTTTCACCCCTTTAGTTACCTTTCATGCCAGGGAGCGATCCAGTGTGTGTCCTAGGGGTGAATCAGACCCATGTTTAGTTTTTTTTTTTTGAACAAATTAAAAAATGAGAGAAAAAATACAATAAAATAGTATATCCTCTGTCGCTCAAGACAAGCTACATTATTTGCCATGCGTGCTTACTCCTTAGTACTGTGTACTAACATAAAGACGTGCGAAAGGGAGTATGATGATGTCTAAGCTTATAAAATCCCTACCCCTGTATACACAATTGCAATAACTCATATAACTCTTATAGTAACCTTCCAACATTTTATAAGCCTTCAAGTAGTCAAATTAACCTTTAGATAGTGCACACTTGAAAATAATGCACCCTATTTATCCATCTAAAGTAGAAAAAAAAAACATTAAAACAAACAGAAAACACTTAAGAAGAGAGAAAAACTCAGTTTGGTCAGATTTGCTCTTCAACTAATTATTTCTGAAAAATACTTAAAATTGTTTTTTTTAAATACTGCTTTTAAATGTGGTAAAATGAATGCACGAAGATTATGAAGCAGCTTTTGATTTACGGTATGTTTTGTTCTGTTGGCGACTGATTTTGATTTAATATCCTTAACTCATTCGCTGCCAGCGTTTCTTACCGTTTTTACTGTTTTTTTAAGAGTCACAGAACATTGCGTGCTAGGAAGATGTTGACGCCAAAACAAAGCGGAGACTCACCTCTTACATCAGGAAGAATCCGCGCGTTTCGAGCGTTATCCATTCTTTCATACTACGTTGTTGAATTGTGATCGGCAGAAGCTTTTCCGGTTCGCGCCTCACTATTTTTACAGCAGCGGCCCAAAACGATCTCCTAACTCATGGATTTTCTGCTTCCTGATCATGTGACGTATGCGGATGAAGAGCGGCTTTAGAGCTGAGATGTTTTTTCTCACGGTGCGGGGGCTCGTCCGGCGCCCACACAGTAAAAAAATGCAAATGATGACTTTGTCAATGGCAGTGAATGAGTTAATATGAGGTTTCCAGCTGATTTATTCAATTAATGCCATGGATGTTGACCTACTGGATCTAAACTCATAATGATTGTCAAGTATGATTTCAAATATTGTGAAGAACTTTTCCAGTCTAATAAGACTGTTTTAAGAGGAATTATTCTAAGTATTTAGATTTCAGGACCAAGATTAAGCAAAGTAACGGATATGTTAAATACATTTTAAAACAGGTTTTCAGTATTTAGTAACTACATACATTTACATAGTATTCTCCAGCGGTGGAGGCATGAGCTGGGCGTGGCAGCTGGGGCTGGTGCTCGTTGTCATAGGCTGGATCCTGGGCCTGGAGGCTGGTGCCTGAACTGGGCGTGGCAGCTGCGCCTGGTGGCTGAGGAGCAGGATCCAACAACATGACCCATGATTATTTCACTAAACTTGGTCTCCTTATTCTCAAAACCCGTGACACAGGTTGTGATCGTGATCGTAACAGGATAAAACAAAACATGCTGATGTGGTTCATTAATGTGACAAATGGAGCCAGAGACTCCTAATTTGTGATCAACGTTTGTAGGGAAACTTTTGTTCAGAGGGAGAATTTTCAAAGCCAAGTTTGTTTCTGGTCTTTTTCCAGACTGGATGCTACACTTAGGAGGTGAACCAGAAAGATAGCACACTAAGTCAAGGGATGTTGTTTTCTTAATCTGACCTCTGCTGCTGGATCACCACTTGGCAAAACAGGAAATGACTCAACTTCCTGGCATCCTGTTCAGACGGGGAACAAGGATGTCTCCTGGCAATCCCCCTCCTTCCCTCAGGACCCTCCTTCTGCTCTTGTCCGATAAGTCCATCATTTCCTGCTGTTGTCCTGCTTGCTTTTAGAATTAGGCAGGGAGGGGTTAACTGCTTGGGTCTCTATGGGAGATATATTTATATATATATATTTATATATATGTGTGTATTTAAATGGAAACTTTTCCAACAGGGGATCATTTTGGAAATGCGTGAGTGCTAAGAGCTGCTCTGATAGGTGCTTTTTCCTTAAGAATTACTCTCTTACAGCCACAGCCTCTAAATTTAAGGTGCCTTTTTTACTTCTTTAGTAGAGTTTGCAGATTGTATAAATGTGACTTTTAGCTTTTATGCTCTCCAGTGGGAACAAGATGATCTTGTTGCTCATGCTTTCAACAGTGATTGGCCACCTCCCACCCTTTGCCTTTCCAGGCTTCTATTTCCAGATGGTTCACTGATTCTTGTGCTAAAATTGAGTTTAGCAGCACTTCATAGACTCCTGGAAAAGATCCAATAATAAAAAAAAACTTAGTCAACGTTTTTGGTTTTTCTATTGAATCTAGTGAGTCAACTGAAGAGTACACTCATCTGAGACCAAATGCCCTTACAGGGACAGAGAAAAACTGTGTAGATCCCCTTTAATCTCCCACTTTTCCTGATTGAAATGAATCAGTAGTGTGATGTAATGAAGAGTCGACGGGTTATTTTTGTCACACTAAAACAGACTGTCCACATAACAAGAAAATGTCCCAGCACTAAACTCTTTAGAACAAAGAATTGACTGCGGGTAAAACAAATGTATCATGAGTTACAATCAAGATGCTCTGCACTTGTGGCCGAAGGAGAAAAATACAGCAGATGGCGTTAAAATTATTTGCTGAGTCACATTTAAAGCATGATCCTTTGGGGAATTTACAGCGTCACAGATTCATACGTCATCATAGATGTTTATTTCTGTGCACGAGAAGCCAAGATATCATAACTGGGGTCAATAGGCTTTAGTCTTGTGACCTTTTTACCCACAATTATCAAAGGTAATAACACACAACTCGCTTTATCTTCATGGTAATAAGCATTCATTCACATGTTTGCTGCTTCTTCAGTGGATCTTTTCTTCTCTCCAGGTCGAGTTGGCATTGTGGGATACCGCAGGCCAAGAGGACTACGACAGATTGAGGCCCCTCTCCTATCCGGACACAGATGTCATTCTAATGTGCTTCTCCTTAGACAGTCCAGACAGTTTAGGTGAGGACGCTTTGGTCTTTTAATACATTTTATTAAAATAGGGGAGTCTACATCGAACAAACCTGATTTAGTTTCGGCTTGTTTGTTCTTCTGGAACAGCTAATATCCCTGAAAAATGGACACCTGAGGTGAAGCACTTCTGTCCCAATGTTCCCATTATCCTTGTGGGGAATAAGAAGGACCTGAGGCATGATGAAAACACACGGCGAGATCTGGCCAAGGTGAAGCAGGTAAGAAAGCACCTGAGGTGGTAAACTGGGCCAATCAGGTAGTTATTCATGTCCCAGACGTCACAAGGCAAGGCAGCTTTATTTGTAATAACACATTTCATACACAGAGGCAATTCACTGTGCTTTCCATTAGCAAGAATGGCACAAACATTAAAAATAACATGGCGGCACAATTAAATAACACAAATTTACATAATTAGTTGTTGGTCAGTCTGTGTGTAATAATGACTCTTAATATACAACTTTAACTTTTTGAATAGAATTACTGAAATAAATAATCTTTGTTGTGATCTAATTTTAGGACCTGCACCTGAATATACCGTTAGGTCTGGAATATACTTGCTGCTTAAGCTTGCGTTGGAGCAGGCAGCAGGCTGTCTTTGTCCACAAGCTGCTAGACTGCACGGCATCGCATGTAGTACCGGAGTGTTCCCCTAGGGGGCGCACTACATAACTCACATCGGATAGAGAACCAGGTTTGTGGGTACAACCAAAACAAACATGGCATCAAAAGAGCTCACTAACTGGTTAATTTTGATGTCACGACAAGAAAAAACAAGTCAGCAGTGGTATTGTAGATGTTATAAAAGACCTCTAAACCAGAGACGAAGTCACCATGAGTGTGTCTCGCTCGTTTTTGTCAACTCCACCTACTGGTTACTTTATTGCAGCGTTCGGATGTGTTGCGTTGCGTTAATTTTGGGAGATGCACACAAACAACGCTTCAAATCAACCCTAGTAACAGATGGCAGCCATGCGGTAGCGTTGTTAAACAGCAACTATATCATGGCCCTAATGAGATTCGACATGCCATTGAGTGATTTATAAGTCAGTAGAAGCATTTTGAAATCGATTCTGTAGTTTACTGTAACCAGCGTAGAGATTTAAGAACAGAAGTGATGTGCTCGGTTGTCTTGGTTCTTAAGACTAGCAGCAGCTGTAGTTGCTTCACAGCTTTTTTGGGAAGATCAGTCAGAAGACCTTTCCAGCCAGCTGAATGAGTTTCTCTCTTGTCTGGACATGAAACCTCTGAATCGTGCTATTTGGTGCAGATGATAAAATGCTGATCTAGTTAGAGCCTTAATGTCACCAGTGAAGCTCGGGTCTGAGTCAATTATGACACCAAGATTTCTAACCTGGGTCTTTGTCTTTATTCCTCTGGAGCCGAGATGAGCAGTAACCTCCACCCTATCCTTATTTCAAAAGACAATAGGTCCAAACACTGACAGAGAGTCTAGGGGACCAGGGATTCCTGGGGGTGCGCGAGCTGCCGCTAGGGGGTGCACGAGGTGAAAAGTGTAATGGCTGCGGAGCTCAGAGAAGTCTGTCATATGTCACCATTAGCGTAGCCAGAAACTCATTTGTGGGTGGGCCAAAGAAAAAGTAAGTGGGCCCAATAAATGTAATTGAAAACAAGTACATTTTTGCGCACACGTGCGCACGCGTGTTTCCTCCACATGTGCCCTAGCTTCATAATAACAATGCGCCGAGCTTCAGCACTTTGGCCTGCGCACGCCGATATGTTCCGTATTTGATCATTTTTAACGATGTTGGAGAAATCTAAAGGTGGTGAGTCATTCTGGCAGATTGTAATGAACACCCAGTCTCATGCAGGTGTTCTGATATTGTAAACCTCACACACAGAACATTTTGGATGTAACAAAATAAATCAAGAAATGATTCCCATTCAGGCTATTAACAGCGCGCTGAAGATCTGAAGTTCAGAGTGCGTCTGTCAGAAGTCAGACACGTTCCAGCGGAACCACGGCTCACGGGTGCACAAGTGAGCACATCTGGGCTGGGCAGAAGTAATTTTACAACATTGGTTTAAATAGCGCCAATAACGAGACGCGGTGACTAAAGCAGCTCACAGAGCTGTGCCGCGCACACACACACACACACATACATACACACACATTCAATAAGCAAGCACGCCGCGCAAACTCCGGCGCGCCGTCAGACTGAAGGCAGAAATGAGCGCTGCCTCCTCCGTGATAAAAACCTTTTAAGAGGTTTTATAACAACATTTTTCATTCCAGGTCAAATTAAGATATTAGCTTCTATTTTGGGATGACGTATTAAAGTCGGGTCCGCTCCAGCCAGTGACTCCAAACCTGACGACAACTCATGTTACTGCAGCATTTGTTATTCCAGTCAGCGTGGCAGCGGATCGCAGATTCAGCCACACCATAAAACAGCAATAAGTCGGTCTGAGGCAAAAGTGGACCTCATGGCTATAGCTTTTCCATCTTTTCCCCTATTGACATTTGATTACGCACAAGTACGTGACCAGCTCAGGTTTACGCAGAGCAGAAGGAAGGAGAGCGCTCTGGCTGCACAGGTTAAACGTTCCTACTTTAAGAAAACCGTTAAATTGCATTTTTTATGTGCTACCTGGGCACTCTAAATATTTATTTAAAATTAAATCAAAGGAAAATGTAATGGTATCGAATGTTTATTAATTACTATTTAAAAAATGAAAGTGATGGGAAAAAGGTCGATCATATTTTTTTTAACCCTGACTGTTTAGCTTGACGTCTGAGATATATACATATATATATATATATATATATATATATATATATATAGCCATGCCCTGATGTGGGGGCTGGGGGGTGCGTCCACATGGTCGGGACATAGAAGGGGGTGCACGGCTAAATAAGTTTGGGAACCACTGCTCTAGAGCTAGGTGGATCTGGGTCATCTGCACAACTATGATGGGTAATGTTACTGTGTATGACCTGGCCCAGGGGTAACAAGGTTTGAATTATTTCTTCACAATTTTAGGACATTTAATGTATTTTTACATTTCTAAAAGGTGTGGTCATGCTTATCTTTTCTACCGTGGTATCACCTCCAGTTCCATCATGCTTTGATCCTAGAGCTGACACATTACTGTGTAAAGATCATCAGGATGATGGGACTCCAGAAAGTAGCTAAATGAACTAAAGAAATACAGCAGGTCTTTAAATCTCTTTCCCTTTTTGGGAAAACTTTGGACTTTTTGCCCCAGAAGTACTGCATCCTACTTTTTGGAATTTTAATAAGATTTGACTTTATTTTTGGCTTCTGTTGTATTTAAAATAAATTAAGAAAATCACAAATCTGTTTGTGGTAAATCTTTATTAGAGGAAACCTGATTTAAACGGTTTCATTCAAACACAGTGATTATCGTCGAAGTCCCACTAGTCATTACACACTGGTGAAATTCATCTCTATCTGATTTGTTGCTGCAGGAGCCGGTGAAGACCGAGGAAGGAAGAGACATGGCCAGCAGGATCAGCGCTTTTGGCTACTTGGAGTGCTCTGCCAAGACGAACGAAGGAGTGCGGGAAGTGTTCGAGTTAGCCACTACAGCAGCGTTGCAGGTTCGCAAGTGCAAGCCGGGAAGAGGCTGTACACTTCTGTGAGCTGTCCAGAACCTGACACCATCAGAAACCAAGACACGTGAAAAGAACTGACCTGTTACCAAATGGATCTTTGTACTGTATCGTTAAAACGGCTAATTAACAGAATACAACAAACCTAGAACAGGTTAAGGACTTGGCTGTATTACAACTGTGGTTAAAAATAGAAAAAAAGTTATATTTAAGCATCCTTATCGGTTTGTTTCTTTTAATCTTTCTGCGTGACCCTCACCCCAAATGTGTAACATGACAGGGCTATGAAAGGTGCACAGATAAAAGCAGTAATGTCTTTCACAAGCTTTGAGTTTTGCATCCTTCTTGGCTAATCTGCTTTCTATGGATGAGGTTTTGTGTCCTTTTAGTGGTTTTAAGGGATGAAAATAATGACTTAAGTTTCTACGCTACTTATGTAGCATCTGTTTGTAAATCAGCCACCATTTCAGCTGTAAATTCAAAGCAAATCCTAAACTAAGCCATAGCCTTTGGTGCTGCTGATAACAGGGAAAAAAGTTGCTGGTGTCACTTCAGCAGGCAGGAAAATCCCCCTCATTGTTCGTTTCCAGTTTACTCAGGATGAAGCCAGACCGCCACTTCCATCATGACGTAAATGATCTGCAGGGGCGTGAGCTTTCTATTCTGCATCAGAATATTTTAGTCGTCTCCCATAAATGTTGTAAAGCTGTGCAGCGACGTTAGACGCACAAGCCAGTGTGACTCATCCTTGAACAGCTGTCTGAATCAACAGAATGGTGCATTATCTGAGAGATCAAACAAGGGACTGTGTTTACTTCTTCCGCTACCGTTCAACTGAGTCACAGCTACCAGTTACCCAGTTAGCACAAGTATGAAAACAAAACACGTCCTGTTTGCGCGCAGCACGTTTCCAGTAAGACATTTTTTTTAAGTTCTGAGAAGAGCTGAAAAGAGATTGAACAGTTTTGTTCCCTCCCCGACCAGACCGACCGACCGACTGCTTTGTGGAGACTCGATACCGGCTGCTACAGTAAAGTTATTGATGCGCTTCGGCTTGGCTTGGCTTTTTGAAAATGCTTTAAAATTTTCCAAAGTATTGTAAGAAAGTGAGCAGCAAACATCTGATGAATCAAGAGAGAGATGACACAGATTTAGGTCGTGAAGGTCTGCATTAAAGTTTTTAATTGTAATGTATGAATCAAAATAAGTTGATACATTAAACACAAGTGGCCATTGAGGCTGGGTCTGGCTCAGTTGGTCTCAGAACATGAAAAAACTAACTTCTTTTAAGTCCCAGTGTGAAGAAGGGTGAGTTGTGAAATATGAAAAACGTCTGTGGCAAAACGGCTTTGATGCTGCCGGTTTGGAGCCAGTAACCAGTCCCACCAGCTGGTTGGGTGTGTCTGTTATATTTTAGTGCTGACAAACAAATCACCACTGACAGAGTACCTTACGAATCAGTGGGCAGATTACAATACCGCGCAAGTGGGAGCAAATCATTTAAATTCAAACGGCTTTAACGCTCTCAGGCTCGGAATACGTTTTTATAAAAGGATGAACAACTAAGACCTTCAGGGGTACTTCTGAGTTAAAAAATGCTCATGAAATACGTATGTGGAGTAACCAGGTAGGTAGGTTTTAACTGTTGCAAATCTGCAACGCCTGCCTCCAGAGAGTTAAAGTTTGGAATAAAGTGGAAATGTTCATTTTTAATTGAAGCTGACATGTGAGGATTCTCTTGAGAGCCAAAGTTAAGACTGCAGGTCTATTATCAGCAACGATGAGTCATCTGCTTTATTAGCTGGTAATACAAGGTATTTCAAAAGGCCAGCTGGTTAGAACAACACGTTTGCAGTTGTCTTGCACAGATGAAAACTGTTCTACTCTAGTTTGTTTAGACTCAACGATGGCCAGTTAAGTGTATGGACAGCACCTGGTTAACGCTGGTGAAGGTTCTCAGTCATCCAGGTCATGGAATTCGAAAGAGGTTCGAATGAAGGTAACTAGACTTTGGTTTCTCATCCAAGGAGCATTTTAAATTCTGGATCAAGCTTATAAACTGCTTAATGAGCAGAAACTACCTACGAATACCCCACCCCCGATGAGCCATTAACCTTTTATTGCATGGGAGTTGTATTGATTAGAGGCAGGAGGCTGACCTAGACAAACAGTTTGGGAGTCAAGTTCAGAGCTGCACTATGTGCTGGAAAGGTGAAACCGGAGTCATCCCACTTTAAGGATGAGGGGTATTCATAGGTAGTTTCTGCTCATTAAGCAACAGTAGACAGCTATAGTTTATAAGCTTGACCCTCAGAATTGACAAATCTCAGATGAGAGGCTAAACATCTTCAAGAAACCAAAGAAGTCCAGTTGTCTTCATTTGAACCCAAACCCCCCTAAAGACCCTGAGCCTGCCTGCCAGACCGTGTGGAATTAATGCAAAAGTTGTGTTAGGCAAGTTAGAAAAAAATATTACTAAATCGTATTTCCACACTGGTGATGTCTGTCCTTGTTAGAAAATCCAAAGCTATCCCAAATTTTAAGAGCATTAAGGTACTTCTCGACTATAGGTGGGGGACGCTACATTAAAAAACAATGGGCTGTAGATGAAGTGCACCCTTAAGGTAAGGAGTGTAAACAGGCCTTGTGTTCAAAAAGCTCAAGAAGCCTTTAGATTAAGCAGAGTAACCGTGGGTAACGGTGGCAGATGGAAGCAAGCAGCAGAATGCACTGGTAAACATTACTGCTGCTGACTTTGTGTGCAGGTCTTATCCAGCTTAGTCACAAGTTAAAAATGCTGATTCATGTTTTGGGAGGTTTTAGTCTATTCTGAATACACAGATTTCACTTATGCAACTTTTTTCCCCTCCCTTTTGAAATTATAAGAAATAATATAAACTCACTGAAATATTTTTAATTAAAAAAATAAATCAAAACATTTTTTGAGACAAGACTCACTTTATTGCTTCTGATTTAAAACAGTGAAATGTTGGTTCTAAAAACACATGCACCCTCAAGGTCACTGCACTCAGAGTTCCTGTTGACTGTTCCTCACTCCAGGTCCAGGACACATGGGGATGGGGCATTTTCTGTTTTAGCCCCGCCCCTATGAAACAAGTTACCTCTGAACATGAAGCCGTCTCCATCGTTGGCTGCTTTAAGAGTCGCTCGAAGACTCATTGTTATCATCTGGCTTTCACCTAACCTGTTTGGTGATTTTAATAGTTTTATTTTCCTTTTGATCCCAGTTTCATTTGTGCTGTGTTCAGCGTTTTGGGTCCCCCTTGAGGATGATGGAAAGCGCTTTATAATTAAAAGTTGATAAACACACAGTGCAACTTAACACTATGGAGTTGTATGTGGTTCACATAGGATATTTCTTTATAGCCCTAGTAACTGAGTAAGAGTTAAAAAAGGAACCGTAAAGCATTCCAGTGGGTTTAAGGAAAATATAAAGCTCCTTAGTTCAAACTAAATCAGAACATTTGTAAAAGCATGAATACAAATAGGTTCTAGAAAGTTTCGTAGAAATATATTCTCAGAGTACAAATATGCAAAAGGACAAATATATCAAATCTTGAGCTGTTCTGCTAATTTTCACGTGACTAAATCTCTGAACAGAGCTTAAAGAGCAAGTCACCCCCATATCACATTTTTTTTGCTGATAAACTATATAAAGGAGTGTCTAATCATGCTACAGACACGTGTAGTCAATAATTTGGCAGTTCAGTGCATCTTGGTTAAAATTCAAATATTCTGCCTAAAACTGTCAGTGTTGCGCCGTCGTCAGGGAAAAATTCTGCACTGTATTTGAATTTTAATCTGCCACCGCTAGTGGCTAAGAGGTATGCTATGATGTCATCTGGTATATTATGATGTCATAATTCCATTGTGAGCCTGTGTGTGTGTGTATTTGTTAGCGGCTCCGCCCTCTCGGTCTGCCAAGCAACAGCATTTGTTGCATTTTTCAAACATGAAGTGGGAGTGAAGTAAGTTTCTTGTAGGGGGTGACTTGCTCTTTAAAGTTCATTCTTCCATTCCGGACTCACAAACTGCAGGAAGTTGCTTGCATCGTCTTCAGGACCTGAAATAAACGCAGACACAATTTAAAATGGTTTTTGCTACATGAAAATGTTGGACTCATCGGCTTTAAGGAAGCAGGCTGAGACAGCAAACTATTTTGAATTTAGGAAAAAGGTTTAATGTTCCACAAATGAATGTGTCACCATGGTAACAGACTATTTAATCTGCTAAAGGCAGGTTATCCTCAACAATCCCTGAGTTTTTATGGTGAAGCAGGGTGTTTTATTTTATTATATTTGTTAGAGAAAACTTGAGTGGATCTAAAACTAAAAAGAAAGCAAAAACAAAGAAAAGTGAGAAAAAGCAGCACAAACATTCAGAGTTGATGATCCTCAGCGATGCCAGTTTGGCCACAAAGACATCTTCCTCCTCTTCTGCATCCTTGAGGTCAAAGCCAACATAGCCTTTCATGTCCACGCAGTAAGTGATGAACCTGAAAAACAAAAACACAGCCAGTAAAACCTACTTAGGAGACAATATGACCAGATTATTTCTTTAAACAGAACCTTGTCCCCTGCCTACATGTTTAAAACACTCAAAAGTATTAAAGACTACGAAAACGAGATGTTTTCCTCTAAACTGTCGTGTCTGCGGCTTGTTCTTACTTCTTCCACACAGGATCCTTTCTGAGGATCACAGGATTCCCCACAACTATAAGCAGCGACTTGGCTCTGGTCAAGGCCACGTTGAACCGCTAGAAAACAATTCATGAGCTTTAAAAACAATTAAATCCTAGTCATAAACTCGCCAAATAGGAAAACGAAAAGCAAACCTTTTCATTTGACAGGAATCCGATGTTGAATTCCTTATCCATCTTGATGTGGTTGGAGCTGCTCCGGACCGTAGAGACCATGATGATCTTCCTCTCTTGTCCCTGAAACTCTTCCACAGATCCCACCTGATCCAATCCAAAGATAAATTTCATTTAGGGAAAGACAGAAACCCACTGAAGCTTTTGCTCAAGTTTTAAACAGATTTATTTACCTTGAGTTCTTTCAGATCCCACTGACTCAAGGTTTTGACGGACTTCAGGGCCTTCTTGATTTTCTCAACCTGTTACAGAACATCGTTACTGATGTCTGATTTCAACACGACCTTTAAATCCCGTGAACCCTGCACAGCCTCACTTGTTTCCTGTACGGGGTGATGATGCCAATGTCTTTGGTAGACAGCTTGGGCAAACCCTTCTTCCCCTGAGTTTCTTTCAGCTTCTGAAGGTACATCATCAGGACGTCGATCTCTGACACATTGAAGAAAGACGGACTGTTTGCCTCTCTTTCGTCTTTCCCCAACACTCCGTGGAATATCACGGGAAAACCCTGTTGCCATGGAGGCCAAGAGTTGGTGTTAATTTAAAATTCACATTAAGTAGGTTTAAATGGGTTTTTAACCCTTAAGAGCCCAAGCCATTTAAAACAGAGAACATGAATAAATACATCAAAATTTAGACTAAAAGGAAACAAAATAAAATCTTTTTTGATATACACTCACTGGTCTTATTATTGGGTACATCTGTCCAACTGGTTGTTAACACAAATACTAATCAGCCAATCACATGGTGACATTTAGGCTCAGACATGGTCGAGACAATCCGCTAGAGTTCAAACCGGGATTCAGAACGGGGAAGAAAGATGATTTAAGTGACTTTGAAAGTGGAATGGTTGTAGGTGCCAGACGGGCTGATCTGAGTATTTCAGAAACTGCTGATCTTCTGGGATGGTCACCCACAACCACCTCTAGGGTTTACAGAGAATGGTCCAAAAAAAGGGAAAACATCCAGTGAGCGGCAGCTCTGTTGGTGAAAATGCCTTGTTGATGCCATAGGTCAGAGGAGAATGGCGAAACTGGTGCGAGCTGACAGACAGGCAAAAGTAACTCAAATAAGCACTAATTACAACCAAGGTATGCAGAAGAGCAACTCTGAACACACAACACGTCGAACCTGGAGGCAGATGGGCTACAGCAGCAGCAGACCACACCAGGTGTCACTCATGTCAACTAAGAACAGGAAACTGAGGCTAGAATTTGCACAGGCCCACCAAAATTGGACAATAGAAGATTGGAAAAATGTTGGCTGGTCTGACGAGTCTCGATTTCTGCTGTGACATTTGGATGCTGAGGTCAGTTTGGTGTCAATAACATGAAAGCATGGATCCATCCAGTCTTCTATCAATGGTACAGGCTGCTGGTGGTGTAATGGTGTGGGGAACATTTATTTTCTTGGCACACTTTTGGTCCCTTTGGTGGTTTTAGCTCTTGGTGATAAGTTTTTTGTGGATGATCCAATGGGATCTTTTGTGTGTTCGGTTTTTAAAAGGTTAACTTTGTTTGTGGCAATTTTACTGGGGGATCGTCCGGGATTATTTTGCTTTAAGTGGATTAAATTAAATTGTTTAGTGGTGGTCACTCTGAGAACCCGTGCTTTTGTTTCTGATTTTTGTGATAACGTGAGTATGTTTAATTTGAAGGAGTTTCTGGCTGCCCCTTCTCGGGACCGGGTCGAGAGCTGCAGAAAGAGCGAAATGGTGGAGATAGCTGTACACCTCGGTCTCCAAGGCATCCAGACTTTGCTGAAAAAGAACCTCAGGTTGTGAGGTCGTAACACTAACGGATCACTGTTGCAAGGCCACAGCCTACCTGAGAATTGTTGCTGACCATGTCCATCCCTTTATGACCACAGTGTACCCATCTTCTGACGGCTACTTCCAGCAGGATAATGCACCAGGTCATAAAGCTCCAATCATCTCAGACTGGTTTCTTGAACATGACAATGAGTTCACTGTACTGAAGTGGCCTCCACAGTCACCAGATCTCAACCCAATAGAGCAGCTTTGGGATGTAGGGGAATGGGAGATTCGCATCATGGATGTGCAGCCGACAAATCTGCAGCAACTGCGTGATGCTATCCCATCAATATGGGCCAAAATCTCTGAGGAATGTTTCCAGTACCTTGTTGAATCAATGCCACGAAGGACTAAGGCAAAAGGGGGTCCAACCCGGTACTAGCAAGGTGTGCCCAATAAAGTGGCCAGTGAGTGAATGTGCGGATGGAATGCCACTTGGGGTTGTCAAACTTTAGTATATGACTCAATAAGCAAGTGTGCAGATGCCTTAAAACGGGCTGTGACACCAGTGTCACCACGGGTTCTTTAAACCATTGCACAAACTGGTCTGGAACGAGGAGGATCGGCTCACCAATTTTTCTGTCCCAGAAAAATGACCCGGACTTTACCAGTCAGGACTTTTTTGGCCCCCTTCTGTTGTATGTCCAGAAATGTGTGGAGTGGTATGGTTAGGGTGGAGCAACAGTCCACTGACTGGGGGACAGAAATGCATCACTACTTGCAACAAGCAAAACAGAGTTCTGTTGTTTGTATTTTCATTAGTTGTACACGAATGTGAAAAATGCCAGCAAGTAGCAGCTACTTTTGGTCATCTTCAGAGCTCCATACATTCCTCACCATCATTGTGGGAGTCCGTCCACACATCGGAATGGAGTCGGGCCAAACTGGAGATTAAAACCCAATATAGAAAAGTTAAGGAAAGAAACAGCCGGAGTGAAAATGGGAGAAACACATGGAGGTGCTACGACGGGCTGGATGCAACTTATAGCTACAGACAGACGAGGCGAGGCAGGCCTGGACTCAGCGACTGCACTCTGGAGTCACTTGAGGAGCCTGTTGATAATTCTTTTTTGTCTTTAGCTCTGCAAACCATTTATTCCTGCGCAAAAATACTGACTAGATGCACAACTTATTTACAAAGTCGCACATGACGGTTCGTTTAACCCCGCCTGCCAACATGAAAGCCTAAACTGATAGAAACATGCTCCTGAAACTGCAGACCCATCCGGTACAAACCGGTCCACGATGACCCGCCCCGTCCCAAACCCTGCAGATAGACCCGAGGGATTAGGATTAAAGCAAAGCCAATTGGTTTTTACCAATTAACGCAATTGCTTTTAAACTGGGTTCAGTGGCTCTCGAGCCATAAACTCAAGCAGATTCACATTAGACAGCAAACTGTAGCCCTCTGATGACCAGAAACTGCAATGAACAGTTTTGTGGTTTGGTTCACTAGTAGGAGATTTTTGGCAAAAGCTGTTTACCCTGCTGGTAGCTAATATAAAAGCTAGAAGTTAGCTTTTTCAGTTCGCTGTGAATAAAAGGGAAAAGAAAAGGAAGAAGTAGTTGGCTTTGTCTGTTGGCATCATGGTGAATCGTAGAAGTAAATGTGAGAGTAATGTCTTTGGAGAATGTCAAAGAGTGAACACTGGTGCGGCCTACGCTAGTTAGAGGGAGCTGAAGGACGCTACGAAATCATGGACTGATGGTGACCTGGCTTTGTTGCTACTGGACTTGTACGTTTTTTGTCCAACAATGTAGATCTCTTTACTAAGGAGCTTATTTTAGCATCAGTACTGGCTTGTGTTAGCATTAGGTCATTGTTAGTGCTTGTGCTAGGCTGCTGCTGCAGAGTTGTTTCCGACAGTTGCACTTCTGCTTTCAACCAGGAGAGAAAAGGTAACTTTATTAAGCGTTGCTTTCAAGTCCAAAAGTATTATTGCAAAAAAGACACACACACACACACACACGCACACACACAAAAATAGTCACGCACCTTTTTAGGAAGAGCCTCCCATTGGCAGTAAGTTTCACGCTCCATTTTGTCAGCCAACACCTGCAGTTCTTTATTATAGAACTCCTCGTTGGGCACTTTCAGAATGGCCTCATGAGACCTGAGAGAAGGTTTATAAAAACTGAAGAGCTTTCTATGACACAAACGGTAAAAAACGGAGATCATAACAGAGACGCACCTGTAGTTTTGCAGCAGTTTTGTGACATAAAAAGATTCTAATCCTGTATAAAGTTCCTGCTGCATGAGCCTCTCCAACAGGGAAAGCCCTGCAGAGAATTTACACACATAGTTAGAACATACTTATTAATCAAAAGGAAAAAAGAGCAAAAACAAGAAGTGAATTTTCGTCTTACCATACCCACGCTGCATCGCAAGAGATGATCGAATAATTGGTCCGAGCTGTTTGTGATCTCCCGCCAGCACCAGCTGACCTTTTTCTGCGCAGAGTAAACCTGGAACACAAACCAATCACTGGTTTTATTATCCAACATCCTGAAATATGACATCTTCGACTTCCTAAAACTGTGGTCTAAAATGCTGTTTTGGATTATTGATGAAATCTTTGCAAAAGGAGTTCATCCACATTAAATCCAATATAATAATAATAATAATAATTAAAGCTTAAACAATAATAATTAAAGCTTACATAATAATTAAAGCTCCAGGCCGCTCCGGCCTGGCCAGCAGCCCAGGGCACCCGGGCACGTCCACGGAACATAAACATCGACCACCCCGACACCAGAAACCGCGAACGGTCTCCTCGTCCGCACCTCACCCTGACTCAGCATCCCCTCTGAGCCCAACTTTAAATTACACGTCTCACCACTAGGGGATACTATATCTTTACCACACTCGTGGTGTGATGACACAGACCAACTTTAATGCTATTCTGACTACGTTTTTTTGAAGTTATTGAAGGTTAATTTTATCTAGGGGCGCTGTGACCATTTACATATAAATCCCATAGAGGTCATCTTTGGTTATCAAAGATGGTTTTCTGTTAATTTGGCATCAATCAAACGCTGCATGGGTCATCTAGAGACAAAAGGCTGTAAGTGGGCGGAGTTAAAGTGATTTGAACAAGTGAGCACGACATGTGTTGATTGCAGTTGTGTGATGACTCCCACCATGTTTGATAAAGTTTGGAGCTTTATTGCAGAAGTTCCAAAGGTTTTATTGTATCTAGCGGGCGCTGTCCCAAATTAAGGAAATTTTCCATGAAGAAGTTTGTAAGTTGATAACAGCCATTTTTTGTGCAGCTTGGTGTGAATTGCATCATGCATGTGTTATTCAGGGCCTAATATCTGTCAGGGGGTGGAGCTAAAGCAATATCAAACAATTACCACAGGATTGTGTTGGGTGCCTTTGTGTGATGACACATAGCAAGTTTGGTGCAGTTACGACCTCATCTGTAGGAGTTATTACAGTTTTAAAGGTATGTAGGGGGCGCTGTGGTGATATCATACAACGTTCACCAATCATTTTTGCCTCGTTGGCTAAAGGGCATGATTGTTGATTGCCATGTTCAGTCTTGAGCAAATCGGACGTTGTTTGTGGAAGTTCCAATCAAACGTAAGGTCAAGGCGTCACGCCAGAAGTCGCCATGGCATCAAAGCCCCTCCCTTTCTGGAAAGCTATCAGATCTGAATGGTCATTACAGCATCATGAAGACAGTGACTGGCCTTGGTGTCATGTTGACTAAATTAGAGGGGACAAATATGGGCATTTCACCATAAAAAAAGACTTCCTTTAGTCAGGGGGCGGGGCTTAGGTGATGTCAGCTGTCCCCATTGTCATTGTCTTGAGATGTGGTCAGTGATTACACAGACAAAGTTTGATATAGATCTGATCATGCACATGGGAGTTATTGAGTCAAGTAATGTAATGGCGAAAGGTCTTTTGAAAAATCCAACAGTTGAATTTTTCCCCTATGTCTTAAGAGTATATAGCAGAAGTTTCAAGGAAATTGGTGAAAAGGACGAAGGGACATCATTCTCCAAACAACGTGTGCGATAACCACTAAATCGAGTACTTGGATCAAAATGGCCGACCTCCTGTGCGACTTTGCACTTGGCTCCAAGAAACTTTTTTGTAGGTCCTGAGACAGTACATTAGTGTAACGAATTTCATAATCCTCAGTCAAAGCATGGCTTGGGGCTGACAGTTTAAATGGTTCTAGGGGGCGCTATTTCAGAAAATAGGCCACGCCCACAAACTTCAGCTGTCCATTTCTATTGGGGGTCAGAGTAGGATCACTCACCAGAAGTTTCGTGGCGATATCACGATAACTGAAGAAATGAGAGGCAAACGTATTTCCATGGCGTGATGGCGATTTTCGCCATGCTCCCAATACCCCGCCTTTTTTTGAAATCTGCCAGTACTGGAGACCAAGCGACCTCAAATTGTCTACTGCTATTTGCCAGAGATTCCTGGTGATTGGGTAAAAGAAGTCCAATAGGGAGCTGTGAAAAAAGTGGCATGGCGACAGGTCAAAGTTTGAGGCTTAGCCACGCCCACACCTTCCAACTTTTGAAAAATCCGACGGTGAAAAATTTTAGACTATGTCTTAAGAGTGTATAGCAGAAGTTTGAAGGCAATCGGTGAAAAGGGCGACGGGGCATCATTCTCCAAACGTGTGCGAAAAACACTAAATCGAGTACTTGGACCAAACTTGGTGGCTGATGCAGCTCTGCAATATCGCGTGGACATCGGGGGAAGTCCCACTGGACTGGCAGACTGGGGTGGTGGTCCCCTTATTTAAAAGGGGGGACCGCAGGGTGTGTTCCAACTACAGGGGGATCACACCCCTGAGACTTCCTGGTAAGGTCTATTCAGGGGTTCTGGATAGGAGGGTCCGTTGGATTGTTGAACCTCAGATTCAGGAGGAGCAATGTGGTTTTCGTCCTGGCCGTGGAACACTGGACCAGCTCTATACCCTTAAGGGGATCCTGGAGGGTGCATGGGAATTTGCCCAACCAGTCTACAAGTGTTTTGTGGATTGGAGAAGGCGTTTGACTGCGTCCCTCGGGTGGCCCAGTGGTACTCCAGGAGTATGGGGTACCAGGCCCTCTGATACGGGCTGTTAGGTCCCTGTATGATCAGCATCAGAGCTTGGTCCTCATTGCCGGCAGTAAGTCAAGCTCGTTCCCAGTAAGAGTTGGACTCCGCCAAGGCTGCCCTTTGTCACCGATTCTGTTCATAACCTTTTTGGACAGGATTTCTAGGTGGAGCCAAGGTGTGGAGGGCATCCGTTTTGGTGGCCTGATGATCAGGTCTCTGCATTTTGCAGATGATGTTGTAGCGAGCGTCCACTTAGTGGTTCCATTAGAATACGCTGCTTTTTCAGGGAAGTTGAGGTCGCGGTGAGTTTTATTGTACAGACCCTGGTTTGGACTCCCTAATTAGAACTTGTTTTCTATTTTGAGGTGGAATGGAATAACCATACTTGCTCTCCTGTGACAACACACCCTCCTTGTAGGTTCCTGTTACTCAGTGGTTTTGAGTACTAGGGCGAGGGTTACTGGAGGCCAACACAGCTGACTATTATTTGGGTCCTATCAGGATTAATTTGCACCTGTCAGCAATGTTGGCGGTGGTAACTAGAAAATGATTCCCGTTAGTTGATCAGTCTAACATGGATTTATCAATTAATCTAATTGAGCCACCCTTTGAAATGGTTCCTTCCCACGCTAAACAGACTTTTTCACATGTGCAGAACAGAGACTGTTTGACCCAACTAACCATTTTGGTTTATTACCCTTAGGATGTCCCGCTACCCTAGGGAGGAGGAGAGACTAAGCTCTCATTACCTAAGGTATCTTTTCTCATCTGTCACAACCTGTTACAAGTCCTGGAGTACAGGCACAAGCAAATAAGGTGGCTTACCTCTTCTGCTAGATCTGGTCGGAGCCCCCACTCAAAGGGTTAAGAGTACTTTAAGAATTGAGAACGAGGATTCTTTTTCCAAAAATTTTATTTCAAAATTAAAAAATGCAAAAAGCGTAAAGCTAAGACTAAATATCCCCTTACAAGGATGCTGCTTCTAAATCTCTCCCTAAGAACAAATTCTACTCGTCGTCTCACTTGTCGTCGTTGTGTTTCTAACTTCTTCTAACTGCTCTTATATATGATTCTAAAACCTGCAAAGCAAAGCATTTTCCATTGTATAGCATTTTCATTTTGCAAGCACTTTTCAGAGTGAAGAAATTTGCGTTACATATATCAAGTCAATCACTAGACAGCAAAACAATGTGTTAGGGATGGGTACCGAATTCGGTACTTTTTAAGGTACCTACCGAATTCCATAGTACCGAACGAGCACCAATTCACGTAATTTCAAACGGTGCCTCGTTTCAGTACCCGTCCTTCATAACGAGAACTTGCCAAGACAGCTGCGCATGCGCAAGAGCGTTATGTCATCGCTCGCTGCGAGCCAGTTGTAAACAGAGCAGCATGGTACTAAGAATACATGCTAAAGCTTGGGCTAACTTCACTAAATGTGATGGGTAACTGGGTGATGATGAAACCAGCGACAAAGATCTAAGTGAGACATCCTCATCTGAATCTCCTCTGGTAGGTAAATAAAATGTTTAAGATAACGTTAGCTTGATATGTTAGCATCCGTTTCGCTAATGGTGCGTTCGCTTTCTCCTCGGAACTTCGAATTTCCGACTAGAAGAACATGAACCCGCTCTAAAGTTTGGCTTCACTTTACTAAATGCAACGGGTGATTGGGTGAAGATGAAACCAGTGACAAAGATCTAAGTGTGAGGCATCATCGTTTTAATCTGCACCAGCAGCTAAATAAACTGTTTTAAGATAACGTTAGCTTGATATGTTAGCTTCCATTGCCACCGTTGTTATCAGCTAATGGTGCGTTCGCTTTCTCCTCGGAAATTCTAACTTCCCAGTGGGAAAAATCAAATGAAAAAAAACGGCAAAAGGAATGAAGATACACAGTAAATTTAGTTCACAGTAAAGATGTTTGCTTCAGTTTAATTATCAGCTTATAAAACTACAAGGACGATGTTTAAATACAAACAGTAGAATGTTATTTATTGTGATATTTATCAAATATTGTTATACATTGAGAAAAATATATATTTAATTATAAAAGAGAATTAAAATAATAAACACTCAAAAGTATCGAAAATTGGTACCGCTAAGTACCGGTATCGATTCCTAGGTACCAGGAATTAGTACCAAATCGATTCAAATGTCAAAAATACCCATCCCTAAATGTGATAATTATAATTTGCAAGATGGTTTCAGGTTCACCCAAAGTTCAAACTTCCCCAAGGAGGACTTCACATCCTGTGACGCTTCCTTCAGTTCCTCTCGTTTTCACCTGCCTCGATTCCACTCGCATCAGCAGGCTCCCGCTTATCTTTGCTTCCCTTGTGACCTCTCTCATTGTGAACTCTTCCTTTGTGACCTCCTTTATTACCTCCTGTGGTTCTGGCATGCGGGGGCTTGCAACAATGTGGTCCTGTTGGCTTCATCAGAACGTGATCTTCAGCTTTTGCTGGAGCGGTTCGCAGCCGAGTGTGAAGCAGCTGGGATGAGAATCAGCTCCTCTAAATCTGAGATCATGGTATTGATTCTGAAAAGGGTAGAATGCCTTCTCCAGGTCAGGGATGAGGTCCTGCCCCAAGTGGAGGAGTTTAAGTATCTCGGGGTCTTTTTCACGAGTGAGGGAAAACTGGAGCATGAGATCGTTAGGCGGATTGGTGCTGCATCTGCAGTGATGTGGGCATTGTACCGGCCTGTCGTGGTGAAGAGAGAGCTGAGTCAGAAGGCGAAGCTCTCGATTTACCGGTCGATCTACGTTCCTACCCTTACCTATGGTCATGAGCTTTGGGTAGTGACCGAAAGAACGAGATTGCGGATACAAGCGGCCAAAATGAGTTTTCTCCGAAGAGTGGCTGGGCTCTCCCTTAGAGATAGGGTAAGAAGCTCGGTCATTCGGTAGGGGCTCGGAGTAGACCCGCTGCTCCTCCACATCGAGAGAAGCCAGTTGAGGTGGCTCGAGCATCTGGTCAGGATGCCTCCTGGATGCCTCCCTGGTGAGGTTTTCCGGGCACGTCCGACCGGGAGGACACTTAAAGGTAGACCCAGGACACGGTGGAGGGACTACGTCCCTCACCTGGCCAGGGAACGCCTTGGGATTCCTCCAGAGGAGCTGGCCCAAGTGGCTGGGGAGAGGGAAGTCTGGGCCTCTCGCCTTAGACTACTGCCCCCGCGACCCAACTCCGGATAAGCAGATGAAAATGGATGGATAATAATAATAATAATTCTAAATGCCATTTTTAATATCTGCCTTGATTTCAACAAGGCTTGGCCTATTCTACCTGAAAATCAAATGCAAATCTTTTCTATTTCTGGGTTAAAACTTTTCCCAAGAGGAAAATAGTTTAATTAATGCTTCAGTAACTACCTGCAACAGCAATGAGACACTGAGGTTCTTCAGCTTGACCCGCTTCATCGACAAACACATGTGTGAAATGGCCACATCGGACCCCTCCAGTCACAAGTCTGAGAAAAAACCCATTTTAGTCGAGAAAAACGTTTACACAACATTTAAAAACAAGATAAAAACACATTACAAATGTGAGAAACTTCTTACCTTCCAGCTGTGTACAGAGTGGTCACTATGACTTTGTATTTCATTAACACTTCCTTCTCAGGAAACACAAAACAATCTTGTTTCTCGTCCCAATTACAGTGTTTCTAAGAAAAAGGAAAATAAAGTTTAAAAAGCCCCTGCACATTCACGCAATCAGGACAAAAAATTGTCTTTTTATTTATTTCTTCTAAAAGATCACATTGTAAAAACATTTGGCTGCATCTACAAATTCGGCTCACACCAATTGTAAACATGGCGCCAAGGCTCACCAGCAGAGTCTTGAGAATGCTGCTTGGGTTTAGGCTGCTGGCGTACATGCGGTACAGCTGGTGGGAGTTCATGTGAACTCTCAGCCTCTCACAGAGCAGATCAGCTGCGGTGTTTGAAGGTGCACAGGCGAGGATGTGGGCCGATGGATCTGTTCTGTTGACCTGCAAAGCAACATTTCACCAAAGGATCGAAACAAGCTCACGGCGGTCAGATTAAAGAACAAATTCTAAAACAGCGACCACCACAGCCAGCCGAAAGACTCGGATTTGAAGCTGTAAAAAAATTCGCTTTACAACCACCTTGTACCTGAATTATAGCTTCAACCACAGTGACTGTCTTTCCAGTTCCCGGAGGCCCAAAGATGATGTAAGGAGCCGGTTTTGATGATCCGGCTACGATCTGACGAACAGCACGACTCTGCTCCGGGTTTTTTTCCAGCTGACGGTTGAACATTCTGGAGAAAAATGCACGAGTGTATTTTATTTCTCATAAAACTAAAACAATAAATGCATTTACTCCTTTGTTTTCTGTGTATTTAAGTCCATCTACAACTGAGAAAAACAGCAAATGCTTTGCAGACCTGAGTTCTGGGAGGGAAACGCTGGAAACCGCAGCACCAGAAGGAAACAGAACCGCCCTGAGCTGGTGTTTTTCTGCCAGGTCGACCGCTCGATGCTGCAGATTCAAGGTCAACTTGTTGAGGGTGAACTCCACGTCGAACTTCATATTTGTGATAAAACACTCCAACAACCTGACATAAGGACATGAGAAAGGTGGGTGTTAGGTTCTGAGACGTCAATGGTCCAGTATCCTTCCTCCAGGTCTTACTTTTTAGAGAAGCCCAGCTTCACCCTGTCCAGCTCAACTTTATGAACCAACCCCTTGTAAACAATGCTCTTATCGTCACATCGAGTCACTTTCAGACAGTCTCCTCGGAGCACAGATGGACGATTTTCTGCAACGCCGGGGACCTGTTTGATGAGAAAGATGTTGAGCAGCCCAAAACAAAATTTACAAAAGCCCGTTCTGTTTCTTTTCTTACTTTTATTACGAGGAGATTCTTGTTGGTCGGATCTTGGGTCATGGTTTGATTGTGGAGGTCATAGTTTTGGATGTCTACTTCCATCTGGGCCTCTTCCAGGTGCAGCAGCAGGTGGAATCGACGGGCGTAGTTCTTCATATCTAAAGAAGACCCTAGAAGCTTCCTGAGTGCACAAACAGGAGCTTTATTTCATAACCTGCACCTCTATGACCAAAAATAGAATGTTTAACCGTAATAAATTAGGATGATTTCTTACATGACCGGTGCAAAGTTCTGTTTGGCTGATGGAGAGAGGTCTTTAGGGTCCACCCTTTGTTTTGCTAGTTCTTTAATGTGGTGAGGGCATTTGTAGTTTCCTAGCTTAATGACGGTTTGCATTTGCTGGACGGCAGAACTAAGAGAAGAAAAACAAACCTACTTCATGAGAATCAAATCACCAAATATCACTTCTGACATAAGCATGATGGGATATTTGTAGATATTAGGTTAATGTTGCATTCAGGTGCTGAGAGTTGTAACGATTTACCTTGGAGGTGGAACTCCCTCCACGATCTGAGAAAAAGCAGGTTTAGATCTAATCACCCGGAACGGTTTATAGGGCGCTACGGGACCCAGCTCTGCAGCCAGCGTTGTCTGGACCACAGCATTTATCTCCCTGATGACACAAACGGTCATCGGCTCCGGCCGGTCCAGCTGAAACTCGAAGAAGATCGTGGCAGGGAAGTATCCGTAATGCTTGAGCGTGCAATGGGCCACAACATCGTAGCGCTCCCCTGCAGGAAGGTGGAGAGAGAAGAATATGTAACCGCTGACCTCGGTTTGTGTTTTAAAAGGTAGATGCTTGTGGACTAACCAGGACAGAGGAACAGGGGAGAGGCTTTTGTCACCCTTCTTTCATCCTTAAAGGTGAAAATGCGAATCCTGTCGAGGACAGTGTAGTTGGTGAAGTGAATGAAGTCCGTTCCCTTGTTCTCAATGTGGAACGTCACGACGAACGGCTGCTGGAGAGTCACGCTGACGTGAACCTTCCCATCAACTGCTTCGGGGTCTGAAGTGATCACGATTCCCTCCTTATCAGCAGTCATCCGTTTCCTGTGAGGGACACGTGCGATCATCCGGATTTCACTTTTTAAAGCACGTTTAATAAAGACGTTTTATATCTGGTTGCTGAAACTTACTACAAACTCAACAGATATGGGATGCTTAGAATAAAAACATATGTTGCACAAATACAATTTGAAATTGAGATTCTACATTTTTTCCTGAGTGTAACATCAGATGCACGACGCCAGACTAACTAAAAAAAAAGACGTAAACCCTCATTACTTCTCAACACAAGTTGATGTGGTTCTAAACTCTGGCACTTAGTGAATAAAGGATGAAAAGGATGATCGTTGATTAGACTTGATGTGAGGCACTGCATGGTTTGGAGAAGGTAAATACAGGAAGACAGCGACCGTCATAACAACTAAATAACCTTCTACTGCTTCCATCAGCCTAAGCAAAGCCGTTACTGAGAGCCAGCAAGCAGACAAAACACAATGTGTGTCTACTGTTTATACAGACGGATACTAAGAAAACACAATAATGAAGCTTTAGGGGAACAGTCTAATACAGGGTATCTGCAGGTTTAAGGGAGCCAAATTTAAGACTTTTTAAGACCTTTTTAAGGCCATTTTGACCAAATTTAAGCTATTTTTTTTTATTAAATTTAAGCTATAATTTCCAGCTATTGCCTGGAACCGTTGCTAACCATGTCGCAAGCGTGGAATTACCCACCCAGTTACCATTAAACTTGCACTTCCCCATGGCGCAAGCCCCCACTAGCTTAACCAGCTAATGTGCTCATCTAAAAATAGCCCTCTTTTACAACCAATTGAATGTGTACAGTTCCGCTTACACCAACATCATACACAAAAAATGCTGAACACCAACTAGAAATTCTTGTTTATTGGGTCTTTGGTAATTTAAGACCTTTGGAAACTGTATTTAAGGATTATTTGTCATTTTTAAGGATTTTTAAGGCCTTAAATTTAGAAAAGCAAATTTAAGACTTTTTAAGACTTTAAGGACCCGCGGATACCCTGTAATATGAAGCAGAGAACAAGTGTAACAGATCAGCATTCAGCAGAGTTATCTATTTGATTAGGAAGTTTTCTGTGCTCATTGTTCCAACATGCAACACTTCAGTCTGCAAACGGCTCTGCAGCAGGTGTTTCCTCTGCTACCTCCTGCTCTCCTCTGCAGTATCCGGCATGAAGCACTAAATCAGCAGTTTGTCTTGGTGTTTCAGTTTCGATCTGCAGCTTCACAACTCATTCTCCTTCCCTTCTGCTCTTTGAGTTCTTGCATTACTCAATCCCCCGCCAAGCACTTCCAGATGCGACTGATCCAGAAGTAGAAACCGTTTGTCAAATCTAATCAACCTCTGCATCTGGTGAGCATCCTTCTTGTGAATTGATTACATCTAAGAGCTTCAGTCAAGCCCTCCCAGCTTGGAGTTGAGAAATACACAAAATATTGACAAAGAAGACTGGACAGAACAGCCGCCCATTGGGGTATCATACGGTTGCTAAACAAAGTGTGTGATGATCTGACACGTAAACTGGCACACCAAAAAGTCAAACAGCTTAAGAAATATGTGACGATCTGACAGTAAATGTGTGCGGTCAGACAGACATACGCTGTGATATGCATATGCCAATCTGACAGAGTATGGTGATCAGACAGAATATTTTGATGCAGATACGATTAACTACACATCTTTTGCACACCAAGTTGCAACTTCCACAAAAACAAAACTGAATGTGAACTTATTACAGCTGAGACTACTTTCTGTATTTTGACCCTTTCACTCATTCCCATACATGTTAGGTGGGGAGGAAGTGACAGATGCATTGATTACTTACTCTAACTTCAGTGGTTCATAGGTTTAGTTACCAGTAACCTGGAAGTCTTGAGAGGCGCTATTTAAAAAGAATAATAAAAAGTATGTCATGAAGTGTATTTTAATCATGACATAAAAAAGCAGCAGTAAGCTTCCTCATCATTCTGGAGACTATTTTGGATGCTTTAACCACCACGTGTTTGTGACTTCCCCTTTGTTAGGCAAATGACTCAAAACGTCCTGATCTGTGAGCTGAAACAAAAAAATAAATAAAAAACATACTCGGTTGGAAAAAAAGACTATATTTAAATTACATAAATATAGATTTATGTGTGGTAGGTTGGTTAGGTAGCATCCATCTGTTAATTGAGACGGATGTTTTGATCTGTGTTTTTGAAAGCTTACGTAACCATAAGCAGAATGACATGTCGGCTGATGTCGTTTCCTGAGTTTTGATTGTTGTCATTCAACATTTTTATCCAGATGAGTCGATTGAGAACTCATTCTCATTTACGACGATCTGGCCCAGAGGCAGCAGCAGACACAGATAGGTTTACATCAAAGAAAAACAGGTAAGATAAAAACATACAAGGATAAAATTAGATCAAAGTTAGACATAAAAGGACTGTTCTCATATATAATATGTACAAGCAATCAAAACAGACTTAAAACAATCTATAAGTACTCAGAAGCACATTGACTAGAAACTATTGATCACAATGAATTATTGAAGGTAGATAAGGGAATGAAGGTAGTGAGCTTCAGTGATTTTAGCAGCTCATTATAGTCGTTGGAAGCAGCGAACTGGAATGAGGAGAGGCCGAAAGAGGTGCAAGCTTTGGGAATAACCATAGAGATGAAGTTTCTGGAACGTGCATGGCGCTGGTTGTTGGAAATATTGAGTAATGAGTGAAGATATGACGGGTTCTACGGATGATTGTTTTGTATATGAACTGATACCGACGTAACATTGTGCAGGAATGGAGTGATGGCCAGTTAACAAGTGAGAACAGATCACAATGATGAGTAGTGCAAGAGGCACCAGTGACCAAACGGGTTGCTGAGTGATAAATGACATCGAGTTTATGAAGTTTGTTGGAAGCAGTTTTATAAATGATGTCACTGTAATCTAAGATGGTAAGGATTGTCATTTTGACCAAGGGTTGCTTTGCAGAATGAGTAAAGGATGACCTGTTGCGATTAGTGCTGAGTATTGTGGCCAATTTACTAAATCGATGCGATTTTAATTCATGAGGCTCTGAATCAATTACGGTAATCACGATCCAATTTGATTCGATTTGATTCAATTCAATTCAGTCTGGTCTTGAATAATTAAAATGCTGAGGTAGAAAACAATGTTTCTATCATTTAGACAAGCTTCTTAACATTAAGTCGGGGGTGTCAAACTCAAACTCACACTGGGCCGAAATGAAAATCTGGGACAAAGTCGCAGGTGTTGGTCTTTCTTCTGTTAGACCAAAAACAGGTTCGGAGAAGATGGAGAGAAACACCTTTCGTTGGTAGAATGTGGAGTCAAATAATCAGAAGACCTGTCTCTTTTCACCGCTCATGAGGGGAGAACACATGCAGCTCCAGCCAGAACCCTGCGTTCAGCTCTTGTCTGCTGCATCCAAGTGTTCTGAAGAACTCTGCTGATACGGCTATTTTTATTGAGGAATAATGGAATGTAACATACGCAGTTTGCCATTTACACACGTCATTGGTCATGACAGGTAAAAACTAATTGCCTTGTTAGTGAAGAGCTAATACATCACAAGAACACGTATCCTTGAGATAAGCAGGAACATTCTTGATAATAAAGACACACGCTGGTACGAGAGCAGGTGGGATGTTTCACTCCTTTTTTGTGCAGGAGAAAATATGCAGCTACTCATCTTTGTGCAGAAAAACACTGAGAGGCACTTAATATCAGAGCAGGATTCTTCCATAGCATATGATAATATAAAATAGCATAGAATAATATATAAAAGAGCTTATAAGGTAGATACATATATTTTCACAGGCCAAACTCAATATTATTGAAAGTTATGGCAAATGTGCATTTTCCTTTATAGATATGTATTGTTGAACCTTTTCCTTTGGAAAAAAAAACTTATTGTTGCATGAACACTGAATTTGGAATAAACTATTTACACACGGACAAATTAATTTGAAATAAAACACACATCAGTGGTATTGGTTACTTATTATGTCTCATTTTTAAAATCTTTTATTCCTTAAAATGTGTATACATTCAGCATATTTTTATTTTAATCTTTTGAATTTTAAGTATTTCTATTTTATGTGTTTTTGTTGTTTACTCTTTATTAACATTTATTCACCTTTTTTGCTCCTGTAATTGCTGCTGTGACAGCAAACTTTCCCCACTGAAGGACAACAAAGGGATTTTTTCTTCTATTTCTATTCTATTCTTCTATCCGTAGCCTTTCCAGTTCCTGCTTTAAAGTTGGTTCAATATTTTTTAACAGGCCAGCAACAAAAAATAGTAATTCTCCTAAATGAAAATGCAATATCTCAACTATTAACCTTCATGCTTTGGAGCAGAAAAACTGCATTAAAACTAGGGCTGCAGCTATCGAATATTTTTGTAATCGAGTACTCTATTGAATATTTTATCGATTAATCGAGTACTCTAATAAATTACCCTTTAGCGTTTGTAAACCATTACATCAAATAGCATGTTATAAAATATGAAAGACCTCTTAAAATGAGCATGCAGTTGCCAGTTATTCTTCAAGTTTTATTCAAAATTAGTTTTCAAAACTTCAGCACTTCAACTTTACTTCACGGTAAACAAATGCGAGCGGCTGCGGCCCAAACAGCACCAGAACCGCTCACAGCGCATGCTCAAACATGGCTCGCCAGCCATTTCCCTATTAACACACGTCCGTTTTAATTTCTACACTTTTTTCTCACACTAACAAGGATTGTCGAGAAAGCATGTTTGCAGTGGTTATGTCAAATTACACTGATCACACATTTATTTACTTTCTTTCGTTTTCCTCCGTCACTCTCATAAATACCTATGTCCTCCTGCAGCAATCCCGAGGGACAACGGACATCAATAACAACACAGTTAAAAGTCTTTCGTGTTGTAAAAACTGCTATTTTTAGCACATTCTAAGACCGACGTGTTGCTACCAGACGTACGGTGTGAGCTGAAACTGAGTGCTACAAACAAAAA